AGAGAGAGAGAGAGAGAGAGAGAGAGAGAGAGAGAGAGAGAGAGAGAGAGAGAAGGGTGCTCGGCAGATAGAGGTACAAAGGAATGGGAAAACCAACACAAGAGACACATGGAAATCTCAAGTTGAAACTTGAAAACCAACACAGTTTTGCTTTGTGTGTAAAACTTTCTATCCCTCAAATACACCTGTTATATACAGGCTACCAGCAAAAACTATATCCCTTTTGATTGAGGCTGATGCAACCTCCAGTTTCTGGAACAAGGTGGCATCGCCGATGACCCGTGCTGCATCGCGGAATTCTCGACACAGTTCATCCAGGCGCACAATCGCCCTTACGACCGTGCCTTCAGGCACATTCGTGAGGTCGCAAATGTCCGCAAAAGGCGTTCCCTGCACGCAAATCAATTCGTATTGCATCCACAATCCACAAAACGTACACAGCCTCAGAACTTTAAGCTTTCAGCAGTCGCATGCATTAGCCCATTTTTACTTTCAGGTAAAAGAAAAAGAAGAGCTCAGGATAAATAATAATTCAATAAACCATAATAATAGCTAGGAAGTTTTCCTCCCCTCGCTGGGCAGGGCCCAGCTGGCGTCACACACAGGGCAGTCTGCTGCTTGGGGTACCTGGGCGCGTAAAGACGTCCTTTAAGAAGGTGGAAAGGGGGATATAAATGGGTTTCAGAGGTGCTAAGGGGGTTTAAAGGGGGGTACCTTATTCTGATTTTGTTTTTTTTTTTTACTTATTTTCTTTTCTATCTTCGATTCAGTAAGGAATTCCGAGGTGACCCTCAGCCAAAAGTCGTTCAGATTGCAATAACACAAACTCCTTTCCCAGTTGTTGTTGTTGTTGTTTTTTTTTTTTTTTTTTTTTTTTTTTTTTAAGCCGGGTCCTCTCTGGACCCCTTACGCGAAAACTCATTAAGTGGAGTAGCTTTGCTCAGGCTACGTGAGGTTGTAGGCGATACAAATGTCATGCTATCCACCATTCCTGTCTAGATTCGATGAATAGTTTACCGATGCCACGTACAGAAAATGCTTCTGCGCGGTATCTCATGTATCTTTCACGTATCTTTGATTTCAAACCTGACCAAGGAGACCAAGGAGAGTAGCTTCCAAAAAAAAAAAAAAAAAAAAAAAAAAAAAAAAAAAGAGTAGCTTCTGACAGGGGATGACTTTGTCGATCGGGCTGCATGCGGTGGTAGGATACACAAAGGCGACGGTATTACTGTTCCGAATCTTCAGATCTTGATTCTCCAAATATTTTATTATTTTATTGAAAATTAAAAAGTAAAATTCGTTTGATGCCGTGAAAGGCGGGGCAACGTAGGCAAGTGCTTTATTGTCGTCGACTCAAATGACAGTCAGCTGAATTGGGCAGGTGAGGGGATTTCAAGGCAGGCAAGGGTGATGATAAGCCATCTGAGGAGAGCAATAGCAGAACAGTTGTTTTTATCGTCGGGGGGGTGGGGGGGTGACACCACTGGTGGCAGCCTCTTAGAGACCGAAAATTGGTCTTCGGCGTGAGGCTCATGGACGGTGTTTCTTTGTCTTTTTTTAGCCTATCAGAAGCGGAACCCTGGGTCAATTGGACGTGTGAATCGAATACGAAGAAGGTTTGAACATTGTTACCTCCGATCGCTGACCTTGAAACGACCGGATGAAAAAAACAGGGCCTGAGATTTCCTCGGCTGCCGCACGCAGGTGAGCCAGGAATAACCTTTTTTCAATAGCACTCAGCGGACGAAGAACGAGGAGTCAATTTGGGGCTCTGATCAGGTGGTCTTAAAGACTGGACAGGAGTGCAGGTCCAGGTCCTGGTACAGCAGGTAAGCCAAGCTGGCCGCTATCACTGGTTGGCGACATCAAAAAGATTGGAATAACACTGTCGGTACGAACAGTCCGAAGCAGGTCCTGACGTTCAGAAAGGAGTACCAGCACCACTAGTAGGGGGACCTCGGGTCGCTTTTCTGTACTAAAAGAGAGAGAGAGAGAGAGAGAGAGAGAGAGAGAGAGAGAGAGAGAGAGAGAGAGAGAGAGAGAGAGAGAGAGAGAAAGAAAGAAAGAAAGGAGTACCGATCCAAGGGTTTCTTGAAGCTTTTTCCTAGGGACAGCGCTACGGAACTATGCGCGGGACCAGAGACGGTATGGGGAAGTTCACAGCCGACCGGGTGTCGAGTACGTAGGATGTTTTTTTTTTCATTGTTTTCTCTACATATATTTTTTTTCGTAGGTTAGCTTGTCCTCGCTAAGCTTGGCGTGGCACCGGGGGTTGCTCCGGTAAGGGTGTGTTGAACGGCGTGGTTTAGTCTCGATTGACGAAGGTGGCGAGACGGGGCCGATTCCCGAGACCGTTCTTGCGGTTTCTCTTGGGTTTTACTCTTCTGAATCAAAAGTTGTCTGATTCTGGATTCTGGCTTCAGTCATTGGTCGTCGTGTCGACTCATGATTGCATGTGTATGCTCACCTCTTCGAAAGAAAGAAGAGGGGAAAAAAAAAAAAAGAACTCGATGGTTTGTGTTGGCCAACAACCTACCCCCCCTCCCCCCCGCTGGAAGCCGCCCTGTCAGGGGCCGGCAACGTTTGGCCATGCTACCCTGATAAAACAGCATCATCTTAAGAAAATAATAAAAAACAGCATCATCTTAAGAAAGTAATAAAAAACAGCATCATCCTAAGAAAATAATAAAAAACAGCATCATCTTAAAAACTTGTGTGAATACGGAAGCATCATCAGGAAAAAACAGCATTATCTTAAAAAAATAATAAAAAAACTTCAAAAAAGAAACAACAGAACCTCTAGATGGACCTCTGGTCATTTGTGTTCTGCATTTGAAAAGAACGAACAACCTGCTGAAAACCGAAAAATCGGCCCAAGAAAGTCAGGAGTCTTAGGACGTACACTTTTGCTTTGTTTCATCTATTCGACTGCGATTGCAGCAAGATTCACAATCACTTTGCGATAACAAACTCGAGTGTGCATGTCACCCCAGGAGGGGACCATCCTCGACGTGGTGTTTTTTCCAAAAAAAAAAAAAAAAAAAACTTTGAACACAAAGTTACAAACATGTGCACGAAAACATTCCATTTTTTCGCGTTTGTTGCACACAACCCTCTGGAGTTTTTTTTTGACCTTTTGAAGTTTGAAGTCCAACCACTCACCTTTGCCCATTCATACACGACTTCCATAAGCCCAAACTTCAACGCTCCATGCGCATATTCGGCAGGCGACACCTGTAACCCGCAAGAGCCTTGCACTGCTCCGATACGGCAAGCAGTTTCAAACAACCTGTGCATGACCGAACAAAGAGATTCATTCGCAATGCAAGGGACCAGCATGTGAGAAATTGAGAACACACACACACACGAGAGAGAGAGAGAGAGAGAGAG